TTCATATGTTAACATAGCTAAAACTTTAGATAAAATTTTGTTTATAGTTGTATGTAAATTTGTGATTGGTATGTTAAATATTTAAAGGTCATTTCTTTATTAGTAGCCTTAAAATCATGATATAATATTAGATATAGGCTTGCATGTGTATTTCATACCATTATAGAGTGAATTGAAGAATTTATTTGGTCTTTGAATCTGCCAGTCTGTTACCCGAATTTTTAGATAATTTTATACTCAAAATTTCGAAATGATTTCTTCTACAAAGTTGTTGATAATGATATCTAGTTTGTCCAGAAATTTTTGGAAATAATTTTTAAGCTTTCTACGAATTTATAAAAATTTCTAACTAAATCTGAAACTGTGTTGAGAATAAATTGTTTTGAATCTGCCAGCATGTTTACCCGAATTTTTAGATAATTTTATACTCAAAATTTCGAGATGATTTCTTCTACAAAGTTGTTGATAATGATGTCTAGTTTATCCAGAAATTTTTGAAAATAATTTTTGAGCTTTCTACGAATTTATACAAAATTTTAACTAAATCTGAAACTGTGTGACAGATTTTACCATGTATTTGAAAATTTATTAAAATTCTATACTAAGCCAAATCTGGTAATTTCTAACTAAAATATGAAATTTGAGAAGTCTAGTTTCATGATAATTTTTTTGATTATGGGTTTGATTTATAAATTTAAGCATGGAATTAATGTAAGGAAATGTGACAAATCTGTGTCATAAACACCTTTGGAATTTGTTTAGAATTATTTACAAGTTATTTTTGGAAAATGCTTTCTGAAAAATAACCATAACATATTTATTGAGTATCCTGTAGATTGATATGAATTTTAGAGTTGTGTAAGTAATGTATTTATAATTTTATTTGCAAGATATATACTCTGAAAATTTTTCTAGAGTAGATAAAATCACCACTTTAATATTATGCTAGTCTAATTTTGCAAATCAAAAATTTGTGCATGTGTGTATTTATGGTTTAATTCTTGTATCTAAGTTATTATTTCATACCATGGCTTAAATAAATTGTTTATTTAAATTCTGTACTTTTATTTAGTATTGTGTGACACATGCAATATTTTATGACTGTACTTTTAATACCAATTGTTCGGGGTGAGTCTTGGTTTCAAGACTGTACGGAATTAAGGGTTGACGGTTAACACCGGCTGTTCAGGGTGAGCCCTGGTTTTGAGAATTCCCACGTAAATTGTGTTGCGAAACTCTAAGATGGCACAGGACTTATTTGAACCCTTTTCGGTATTCAGTTTTGGAATAAGGGTGGATGTGCAGGTGGCACACAGGGAGGTTACTTACCCCTGGCAGACCGTTTCCTTGGGGCAGACCACGGATGCCACTACTTGGGTAAAGGGAGTATTCGGATTTCTGACTCGATTACTTTAGAATCTGTTCTTCATGTTCCAAAATTATCCTGTAATCTTTGTCTATCAGCCAACTCACTAAACACTCCAATTGCTCTGCTAAATTTCTTTCATCCCATTGTGTTTTTCAGGACCTGTCATCGGGGACGACGATTGGCAATGCTAAGGAGTATGAGGGAATCTACTACTTTGAGGAAGCTAAAGTGCGTGATCAGTGTCAAAGTGTTATTTGTAATTCTGTCTCTATCCCTAAGAATAGTGACCTAATGTTATGGCATTCTAGGTTGGGTCCCCCAATTTTCAATATATGTGTCGTTTATTTCCTTCACTATGTTTGAATAAAAAGTCTCTTGATGTTCAATGTGAAGTGTGTGAACTCGCAAAACACCGAATAACTTCATTCCCAAAATCCAACTACAAACCCACAAAACCTTTCACAATCATTCATAGTGATGTATGGGGACCTTCCCGGATCCCTAATCGCACTCACACAAAATGGTTCGTGACATTTATTGATGATCACACTCGTATTTGTTGGGTCTACTTGTTAAAAGACAAATCTGAAGTTCGTTCAGTTTTTATCAACTTTTATGCCATGATCCAAACACAATTTCACACCAAGATTCAAATCTTGCGTACGGATAATGGCACAGAATATTTCAACCACACCTTAGGTCCATTCCTTCAAGAAAATGGGATAATTCATCAAAGTTCATGCGTTGACACCCCTCAACAAAATGGGGTTGCCGAACGTAAAAATAGACACATTCTTGAGGTAGCACGAGCCTTACTACTCACTACCCATATGCCTACAATGTTCTGGGGTGATGCTATTCTCACAGCAACCCACCTTATCAATAGAATGCCCAGTCGTGTTCTTTTCCATGCTACACCTCTTGACACTTTCCTCGCTTTTTTCCCTACCTCTCGGCTGCAGTCCACTCTTCCTCTTTGTTTATTTGGCTGCACTGCCGTTGTGCATGTCCATCCTCACCAACGCACCAAGCTGGATCCTCGGGCCACCAAGTGTGCCAATCTGGACTAGCCACTTCAACAACTCGACATAAAAAATGCCTTCCTAAATGGTGAATTGGAAGAAGAAGTGTACATGACACTGCCTCCTGGATTCAGTAAAAAGGGCGAGGAAAACGAAGTCTGTAAACTAAAAAAGTCCTTGTATGGACTCAAACAATCCCCCAAGGCATGGTTTGATAGATTTACAAAGGTAATAAAAGGAGAGGGATACTGCCAAGGACAGTCTGACCATACTATGTTTTTCAAGCACAAAAATGGGAAGAAGACTATTTTGATTGTGTATGTAGACGACATTATCCTCACCGGCGATGACATTGAGGAACAACTCATACCTGAAGCACCAATAGAGTCGGATTTGGTGGTAGCTCTGAGCAACCAAGAACCTCCTAACAACTCAGAACAGGTGATAGAACCTGCTAAAACTGATGATATTGATCTGCCCATTGCTCTTAGAAAACAACCTCGCTCATGTACACTTCATCCAATTGAAAATTTTGTATAATACCTTGTCCGCAGGATACCGTGCCTTTACTTCTAACCTTGACAGGGTCAACATTCCGAAGAACGTTGAGGAAGCACTTGAAATTCCAGAATGGAGAGAGGTTGTAATAGAGGAAATAAGGGCATTGGAAACGAATGGAACATGAGAAGTTATGAAGTTGCCACGAGGAAAGAGACCAGTAGGCTGCAAATGGGTATTCACTATAAAATACCGAGCAGATGGGACAGTTGAAAGAAACAAGGCCCGGTTGGTTGCAAAAGGATTTACTCAGATCTATGGCATCGATTACACAGAAACCTTTGCACCTGTGGCAAAGTTGAACACTATCCGAGTACTCTTGTCCCTGGCAGCCAATCTGAACTGGCCACTTCAACAACTCGACATAAAAAATGCCTTCCTAAATGGTGAATTGGAAGAAGAAGTGTACATGACACTGCCTCCTGGATTCAGTAAAAAGGGCGAGGAAAACGAAGTCTGTAAACTAAAAAAGTCCTTATATGGACTCAAACAATCCCCCAAGGCATGGTTTGATAGATTTACAAAGGTAATAAAAGGAGAGGGATACTGCCAAGGACAGTTCGACCATACTATGTTTTTCAAACACAAAAACGGAAAGAAGACTATTTTGATTTTGTATGTAGACGACATTATCCTCACCGGCGATGACATTGAGGAAATGAGAAAATTGAAGTTCGTTCTAGCCACAGAATTTGAAATGAAGGATTTAGGGCAGATGCGATACTTTCTAGGGATGGAGGTAGCTAGATCAAAGAAGGGGATTAGTGTTTCACAACGAAAATACACCCTTGATCTCCTGACCGAAACAGGCATGCTAGGTTGCAAACCAAGTGACACACCTGTTGAAGCTGGAAAAAGAACAGAAGATATTGGGAAGCCAGTGGATAGGGAGAAATATCAAAAATTAGTCGGCAAACTAATCTACCTGTCACATACCAGACCAGATATAGCTTTCGCATTAAGTGTAGTAAGTCAGCACATGCAATCTCCAAAAGAAGCACACCAGGAAGCAGTCCTCAAGATCCTAAGATATCTGAAGGGATCTCCAGGGAAAGGCTTATTATTCAAGCCAAGTGAACAAAAGGAAGTGGCAATATTCACTGATGCTGATTGGGCCGGCTCCATAGAGGATAGAAGATCCACGAAAGGATACTGCACATTTGTATGGGGAAATCTGGTCACTTGGAAAAGCAAGAAACAAAATGTTGTAGCAAGGAGCAGCGCAGAAGCAAAATTCAGAGCTGTTGCTCAGGGAATATGCGAAGGATTATGGCTGCGGAGGATATTGGAAGAACTACATGCTGAATTAGAGGTACCTGTCAAGCTGTACTGTGATAATAAGGCAGCGATCAGTATCTCACTCAACCCTGTCCAGCATGACAGAACCAAACATGTGGAAGTTGACAGACACTTCATTAAAGAAAAGGTGGAAGAAGGAACTATTTGCATGACATATGTCCCCACTAAGGAGCAGATTGCAGACACATTTACCAAAGGACTACCTCGGCAATTGTTTGAGGATTTCATTGGCACGTTGGATAAGATCAACATCTATGATCCAACTTGAGGGGGAGTGTGGAAATCCCTACAGTTTAGGAGTCATATGTAATCCCTATAATTAAGGAATGATTATTGACAGTCCAATTTTAGGTATCCTATTTTAGGTATGTACAGAAGGATGGTGCTGGTGGTCAATAGTGATTACCATGATTCTTGTATATTCCTATATTGTAGAATTGTATTTCCTTAAGTTAGCTGCTGGTTACAGTTTATATAATAGGGCATATTGTACAATTCAAGGTATTGTATTGAAAATATAAAGCAGTTTCCTCCAGCTTTCAATTTCACTTGTCTATAGTAAACACTTCAAAATTTATCTTTAATGCTTAAAATTATAAATACAAACTCACAATTTATAATGCAACAAGCAATATTTACAAGCTGTAATACATCAGAGTTCACATTGAAGAAAGCAACTAATGTATACAAGCTGTAATGCAACCAAAGATATTAAAGTTCAACATGAATCTCTTTTCCTGTATCACCCATTCATGATATTTAGATGTTTGTGAAGGAAACAGGGTAATAAATTTTAAAAAATAATCACACCAACTGATCCACATCATAGGTATGTGCAGGCGAAAACAATTATTCATATTGGGGCATATCAATGACATAGATTATAATGCTGGGTTTAGAAACCGTAGAAAAACATGATTAAACCAACTACTAATGTAAGTAAAGTGAAAAGCAACTAAATAGAACTTACAGGCCAACAATCTCAAGATCAAGAAAACAAGGGCAGACTGACAATGATGCACAAAGTGATGCATTATCCATTCTTTCAATATTGTAAAGGTGTAACCTCCTCAAAAGAGCCCTAACAAGAAGAGAAAGAGATTCAAAATTAATAAATAAATCGAGACAATCTGTCTGTCTGTAGTGTGTGCATGACTGTGCACATGAGATGATGAGACTATCATTGGAAATTGGCAGGCAACCCAATAAATAAATAAATAAATAAATATATGCACCAAATTCTACTTAGAACCATACCCAGGAGCACCACTGTCCCCACTCAAAAAACTCAAGCAGGACCTTGTGAGAATAGATGACTCATTTATTGCAGAAATACATTAGGAAATACATAGCATAACTAGGAAATACATTATTGCAGAAACTGAAAGTGTCGACTCAGTGTTGTTGGGAGAGTAGCATAGCAAAAGGAAAATGTAATGAATAATCATAGTTGCCATTAGTAAGCAGCCCAAATTCTGTAACTGTGAGCTATGACTGGCCACCCAAATATGAGAGCCCCTACATATGTGGAGAAGGCATGAAAAAGGTCTGATTTAACCAATAACATAGATCCCTTCTAAAAATTAAAAAAAAAAAGACCAATAGCATAGATTCTATGATTAAAACACACTAACTGACAAATGAGTCACCATTAACAAAGCAAAATCCAAAGTATTGCACAAATCAGGAACATTGCTGTTTACATGTTAAAGCTTCTCACCAACCTTAATAGCTGTTAGAGAGATTTTAAGTGTAAAAAGACTATAAATTTCAAATAAAACAAGATAAATATGTTCATTTGGTAAACCTGAGCTACAAAGTAAAAACACCAATAACCTAGAAAACTAGATAACTGACAGAGAACAACACAAAGATCATTAAACAACTAGAGATTTAAGAATTAAACCATAAATTTATATTTGGTTTTGCTGGTGAATCACTCATCCCAACTAACTCAATGAAATGTTATTCCTAGAAAATCCTAGTACTTAACAAAATTTGGGGATTGCATGATGTTCAATGTATGGCTTCAATTGAGACCCCAAGCATGATTAGAATTGTCATGGGAAAAATAATATACAATCTAACTATATCACAAATAAACAAACATAATAAAATCCCCTATACTACAGTCAACCCACAAAAGACGGTAGTACAATCTGTTAACAAGTACCTACAATCCAACGGTAAGAACAAGAAATCATAAACATGTTTGTAAACAAGAATGGTTATTAATATATAATTTCTTTTAGAGTTGCCAACGGTAAGAAATTTCTGAAAAGAAGAAAAACTTCCTCAAATACATAATAAATCTCTCAACAAAAAGAATTTGCAAGAAACTTCAAGATAAAAAGAGTTATTTTCAACTTCTCCAGCAATAATTTAAAGCTTCCTTCTTTGAAGTCAATTTAGTGACAGATACTTCAATTGTACAGTATGAGAGAGAACATTGCACTTGAGAACCAAAAGAAGCCTATTAGTCAACAATCATCACATTCAATTCTTCATTATTGTCTACAAAAAATTCCCAAAATTAAGCAAAGGCAAAAAAAGGGAATTTATATTCTCTGACATTTTTTAAGATTTTAACTATGATGAAATGAAATTTGTTATGCTTTGGTACATTACGAGACAAAAGGCTTTGCCTTCCCTACCTTTTATAATGATGAAGAAATTGTATTCTTTGCATTGTGAGCAACATGATGACTTTATTATTTGATTCTTCAACATGCACCGCTGCAAAATGATCCACAAATACACTATGCACTGCTCATGCATAATGAGCATAGCATAAAAAAAAAAAATACACCCTATGCATGTGTCTATTTAGACGTTGCAAGGTTTTGTGACAAACACCCCACTGAAGCAATACAAACATCTGTGCCCAGAGATTTTAATAATCCAAAGGAGCTGCTTGCTTCAAATTAAACTAAAGTCAAGTCTAGAAAAGTATGCCTATGGCAGATTCCAAATATCCTTTCAAGAGAAGCTGTTCATGGTGTGTTCCTGAAAACCATGAAGATATGCATTTTGCAGCTTGTTCTATACTATCAAATTCCCATCTTTTCATGAATATAGCCTCTATAGGCAGGGATGTATCAGTCTGGAAGTAGGATGAAAATCATTAAGCACAACTCCCATATTGCAATGCATATAGAAGATGCAACATTAAGTCTAATTTGAGCATATATGAATATGCAACATTAGTCCTCTGAGCATTAATTTTGTTAATTTAATCTCTAAAATATCTAATTTGAGTCAACATGATTCAATTTCATATGACAATCTAAATCGTTAATGAAATAGTAGTAAAGTCTACTTCATCCAAGTTTGCCTCCTTACCAGCCCAAGTGTCTGTAACAAAGTCGCATTACTGGTGGCAAAACATAATTTTGGATATGTTTTGCCGTAGATTAGGTCTGTACCCAATCTATCCCTCCCCGACCCCCCCCAATTCATTGGAGACTAAATTGGGTGCTTCTTTTTTTTTTTCGTTTTCATTGCTCCTTTTCAATGTTGTGATGCAGACCTCGATGCTTTGGAAGCTGACGTGGGCATGGAGACAAAGGTGATGGAGTGCCTGCATATCTTCATCCTGATCTGGAAGGCGGAGCTCATCTTGCCACCAGCACCAACAGGGCATGCAGCACCAGCAGTACCAGCTAGCAGAGTCAACCAGGTAAATTGTAACCTCAGTTATCACTCAGGAATTCCTTCGCTTACAATGCTACAATTGCTTGGAAATGGATATTGTATTTCGTTGTAATTGATGAATTATTCTGTTGACCCAGCTTTTACATGTTCCAACTAGTATATTGTCAGAATTGTACAATTCACAATAAAATTCACATGATTTAATATGAGTTTCAATCAAAATGATTTGAATCGTGCTATAGAATTGGAAATTGAGTGTGCTGTTGAAATTGAAAATTGAGTAAATCGTAATTCACAATTGCGATTTAGCTTTGTTTTTGTTTACATAATGTATTGAAATGATTGCCCTTCTCACATCTCTATCAAGACACAAAAATAGGGCAATTAGTTATATAGATATATTTGTTATTTGAGGAAACTAGTTATATTGATATACATGGTGTTATATATTTGCAAATATATAATTTATTTATATTGATATTATTTCATTTTAAACACTGTATTTTCATATGTATATTCATTTAGAAAATTATATGTTATATTAAACAAAATGAATCTTACCTTTCACTATTCAATGCAATTTACAACTCACTATTTTATCCTAAACGATTCATGATTCAATTTGCAATTTGATACTTACCTTTCACTTTTATCTATTTCTTTTTCCCCCTCAAAAGGCCATTGCATGATATGTTTCAATGACAATTGATTGCATATGTAGTTTTCCAAATGTACTGCTCAGCCTTGAATTATTATTATTTGTTGGAATAATTCCTTATGTGTACGGTGTGAAATATGTAATTATTGTACTAAATATATTATCAAATTATATAAAAAAAATATAAGTTGAATGTAACGTAAATTGTTTGGGTAAAATCAAACTAAACCAAACCAAACCATATACACAGAGAATCAGAAATACTTACAGAGAAGTAAAAAAGTTATAAACAGATTGTAAAAATCTGAAATCAAAAACAGTTTAATCGAGGCTTGTGTTGGACATAATTTTTTTTAAGACAAATTCATCTCTTGTTACGGTACTCACGAGTTTTTATTGGATGTGTATCTTCCAGGATACAATGATCGAACTTTGTAGAAGTAGCACTACCACTACAAGTTTGGCGAACCTTGCTATGCAAAATTTTCTTACAGAAAGGACAGTGTCAAAGGAAAGAAATACAAGATGAATCGATACTTATGAATGCAATAAGGGTCTGCTTGTATAGGAAAATTGGTGACTTTTCGAATGGTCGTAGTGACTTTCCGATGAAGAGAGACAACTCTCTCATTGAATAAGTAGAATAGAATAGACATGACTGTTTTTTCAAACAGATTTGAATTTTGTATTGAATCCGATTCAATTTTGATCCAAATAAATAAATTTGATTTAAATAGAATTAATTTTGAATTAAATAAATTTTGTCTTAAAACTATACTCAAATGATGTATTTTGGAGTTAATTTCTCATTCACCTATTAATGATTTTCAAATCATTTTTCCAACAATTTCCCACATAAATGAAATGAAGAAAAAGTATGCAAGGCTCAATGTAGACTCAAAGCGAATTCACTTGGAAATATCTTGCATGGAGATATGTAGTTTTTGGCTTTGAACCCTTCTTAGTGAAAGACTAATCAGTGAACACGATATCTTGAACTGTTTAGTTATTTGTGTAAGCTAAGACAATAAAATTTACACAGAATATCTCTAGACATAGCTTAGTTCTCACGGTTGTGCCGTTTTGGCCTTGGACATGTCTTGGTGTTTCACGAGTGCTCTAGAGAACTTAGCCTTATCAATTCTCATAGAAGCGGTCCTTTTACACTCATATTAGATTATCTTTATTTCAAGTCTTTTAAATACTCCTTTTAAAAGATACTCTTTTAAGTTTTTTAAGATATAAGTGATCATTAAAAATATAGCTTATCTTAAGTTCTCTGCATACAACACATGTTACAGTTATTACTCTCATCATAGAAATGGATAGGAGATATACTCCCTTAGTGATTTCTGGTGAGTCATCCATAATTCGGTTGTCCACATGTTACAGTTATTACTCTCATCGTAGAAATGGATAGGAGATATACTCCCTTAGTGATTTCTGGTGAGTCATCCATAATTCGGTTGTCCTTTTAAACCTAGATCTTGGGATGTCCAGTCAACTAAGGTCTCGTTTGGCAACATGTCGGTTTAGTCAAAAAGTCAAAAAGTTATTATAAAAGCTAAAAAGCCAACAACCCATACCAAAAAGTCAAAGATTCTCTTTTCTCTCTACTTTTTGTACATCTTTTCGTAAAAAGTTAAAAAGTCATCCCAAACATACTAATTTTTTTTAGCTCATATTTTAGCCAAATAGCCAAAAAGTTACTAAATTAGCATGTTCCCAAACGAGGCCTAAGTTTGCCATTATGACGACCCGAAATTAATAGCTTTTAATCACATTCCCCTCGATGAACTTTCTTTCATTTGTTCTCTGGTCAAACTTTTTGTTTAGCGGCCGCTATTTTTCGTTTGATCTTCTTAGTTATATATCATTGAGTATTTAGTGGATCAACTATATATTGTCCTCAAACAATATTCACAGTTGAGAGCAAATGTCATATGGTATTAAAGTCTTTGACTACGTCGAGACTTACCGTTGCTCTATGTCACTCTCATACCTAAAATTAATTAATAGATAGAGATGTTCTTAAGAGTTAACAAAGTCATTTTTGTTTCTTCTCCAGCTTTGTCTTAGACAAAGAAATGCGATCCTTTGTAGACCTATTATTGAAACCGTTACTTTAGTAAAATCCTTTAAGCACCCCTACATTTTAACTATTCTAAGAAAAATTAATTTTCTATCAATATATCTCCACAATTCTGATATAAATCATAATATAACATCCATCACTTGAGTAACAAAATTTTAAATCAAATTTATGAAATAAAAAACCCAAAATAATTATTATGACTACATAAGTGAGAATTAATACTTAAATAAAATCATATCTTCATAAAACTTTTGTCCAAAAACCAATGAAATGGATTTAAAAAGAAATCAAAATTTGAAATTCGGAACATCATGAACAAACGTTACAAAAGTCACTTCCTCGGGTGTATAAAGCATTGCCTACTGTTCATAAAGGCAAACTAACTGTTACACCATTACTTCCCTTATGTGGCTTTATACATTGTTCATACAAAATTACAGGGACGCATGCCATGGCATTTTAAGGGAATTAACATATATATAGATATATATAAATGCAATGCAAGTGATGTAAAGAGTTTCAAAAGGTAAGTGATTTATTTGGAACCAAAAAAAATTCAGTGCTTATGAAAAGTTACATACTAAGACGGTTTCATCACAATCAAAAAACGGTTGAACCAAAAATTGATTATGACACAGAAATTAGAATTTTGTATATATCAAAATGGATTGAATCTCTTCCTTGTTCAAAAATATAATACAGAACACTGTAAAAATTCACAACTGTATGATTTCAAATTTTGTCTACAAAATTTCAAAAGCAAATAGAGTGCAACAAAATAATACAAATTTGTATAAAAACATAAACTAATTATGTCCAGAATCGAAACTGAAACTATATACACAAACATATAAACCAATTCTGTCTAAAATAAATTCTGAACAGATTATGCAGGAAAAGTCTCTATTTAAACAAATCAGAAAATACAGAATAAAAATCTATGTTGAAATTATTCAATAGTATCATGTATTCAAAACCAGAACAAACAATTAAAACCAAACACAATACTGCAATAACAATATAACATGAAATAGAATCTGACTCAAATACATATTTAGGTAAGAAACCCATATTGAAAAGTGCACATCGATTCAACAAATTCAAAAAATTTATGTTAAACCCATGAAATTTCTATTCTTAAAAATCAACCAGAACGATTTAATTAAAAATTTAAAATTTAAGATCAATCCAGAAATCCAGTCTTCTTCAAGATCACAACCTAATGCAAATCATGATGAGTTCTTTCCACAAAAAGATTTTGATAATTTTGATCTTGACTCAAATATTTAAAATCTCAATCTTAATTTTTGCAAAATATCCCATAAATTTCAACTTGCATTGCTTCTTCAAAACATTAGTTGTTCTACAATTTAAAATACATATGAAAAAAACATCCATGCATTTCCAAAATCCCATTAGCATCTTTCCCTTACAATCTTCCATGAAGTTGCAAGAAAGCTATTAACAAGATAGAAGTTCAATCACTGAACAAATCAAGTTCGAGCAACACGAGCGATATTGGCCATAAAATCCTAGTAATGGACATAATTCAAGTCAATATCTCAAGCCGTTTTGTTGAGTATCTGATGTATACGATCAGTAACAATCTCAGCAACAATCTCAGGAGAGAATCTACTGATCATGTCTTCCCTCGCTCTCCTTCCTCTAGCCTTAGCTTCTTCACGATCACTCATCACATGCCTTATCAGAACTTGAAGCTTATCAACAGAAGGCTCAGCCCATTTATGCCCTCTGAACGGTCCTTCAGATACTTCACTCAGAACATCCACCGACAAGGGATAGCTATTTTCCTCCGTTATGTACTCAGTGGGACCAGACCAATTTGTTGTGATCACTGGCAACGACATTGCCATGGCCTCCACAATAGGCCGGCCCCATCCTTCCCCTCTTGATGGAAGAACAAATGCATCAGCTGCGTTGTATAGTCTTGGGAGATCTACGTGAGGTATGTGGGCATCGATCACGTAAATCGGAGCCCACCCATCAACCGGTTTTACTAAATCAGAACCCTCAACAAACTCCACAATCTTGTTGCAAAAATCTCTATTGGAGTGATATGGATTTGTTAACAAATACAAAGCAACCCCATCGACGTTAGAGAATTCTTTTAAGTATGCCTGCAACAACACATCCCAACCCTTCCTATATTCCCACTTGAAAATGCTCAAGAAAACAAACTTGTTATCGGGATTTGAATTCAATGGAGTTGAGCCCAAAACTATAGTCCCTATAGAGGCAAGGTCTAATGGCTTATACTTGACAGGATCAAAGAAATTCGCATCAACAGGTTGAACAATTTTCACAACCTTCGACGAATCAACCCCACTTTGTATGAATGTAGACACATGGAATTCAGTAGGAACCCATACAGAATCCATTTGATTACACCGCCTTACGTGCTCAGGATTCAACCTATCAGTCTCAAACATAGTCCTACCAATTATGAATCTGTAATTTTCATAACCAGTTGGTGGGCATGGGAGTGTCTGAAACAGAGGAGGGTACCAAGCACCAGGCTCACTATGACATATCACAATGGTATTATCATCCATTTCACATTCTGTTTGGTAAAGCTCAAGAGCCAATTTTTTCATCTCCTGAGGCAAACCCTCCCAAAACTCAAGAATTTCAAGATCACCATGTTGATGAATACTCATTCTAAAGCTAGGGTTTTTCTTGTTTTCATGTAAAGCTAAGATATAAGACCAAGCTTCTGAGCTATACCCACCACCTGAAAGAAAAGGGGCCATCCATAGCACACAATAAGGCGGTTTGGAAATAGGGTTTGGTTGTGGGTTTTGTTTGGTTGTTGGGTTTGAGTGAAGAAACCCTAGAAGCTTATGAAAATGGGAAGACTCTGGTGAGAGAGTTGCATTCAGAAATTGAATCTTGTAGTAGTCTGTGTAGGTGAAACTGAATAAGATTGCTAGAAGTAGAACTAGTATTGACAATAAATCGAAGCAACTGAATTTGAAGAACAAGGGGCGAGTTTGAGTGGGTTGTGGTGAGTGATGGGGTTCTTGATTTTCTTGGGAATCCATAAGAATGGGGGAGTAAAGAAATTACAGATTCAATACAGAAAGAGAAAATTCTAACAATTTGGTAAGTAAAGAGTAGAATATGAGAGAGGGAGAGAGTACCAAAACCTGGGACTTTGTAGCTGGACGACAGGGACAAGCAGAAACCCTTGGAACTAAACCATTGACCTGCGCTAAGGAAATATATTTCGGTCTTGTTTGGTTTAACTCAAAATATAGTTTTTGAAAAAAAATTCAAAATTTTATTTGATTGAAAATTTAAAAAAAAAAGAAAATTTAAATTCACTTTTTCTTTTCTATACATTAATTAATCATTTTTTTTTCTCTCATCTCTCTTTCTCAATCACTTTTTTCTTACACGCATTTACTCAACTATAACAAAATATCAAATCTTCTCAAACTCCCATACTCCAAAATTATTTCCAAAATATATAACTAAACAAACCAAAAAAAATTTTAAACTCTTTCTTCCAGATTTTTTTTAAAAATTTATCTCCCAGAACCAAACCAAACACACCCTTTATTTTTATTTCATCTCTCTCAAAATATTAGTCTCATTTAAAAAACATATATTTTAATTTTTTCTCTCATCTCTCTTTCTCAATCACTTTTTTTTTACACACATCTATTCAACTGTAACAAAATATCAAATCTTCTCAAACTCCCATACTCCAAAACTATTTCTAAAATGGCCTTGTTTGGGAAGTAGCTATTTTTTAGCCTTTTTGGCTATTTAGCTATTTTAGTAGATTATTTTAGTTTTTGTATTTGGTAAGATGAGATGAATTTTTATTTGAATTGTTGTATTGGAAAATGTGTTGAAATGATGTTTAAAGTTAAAATGATAAATTTATCCCTAACTTTTTATTTTTCAAAATTAACTAAAGGGGCAAAATTGTAATTTAATAGCTGTGGGATATCTGTCCGTAGGCACAGTACCTACACTGTGGATAGCTGTCCATAGGCTGTTGCCTTGTCCTTTAGCTTTTCTTTTTTCTTTTTTTCTTTTTTTTTTAATAAAAATAGGTGAACAGTGGACTTTTTGACTTATTTTCAATTTGAGGTTATTATAGCCTCAAATTGATCTTCCCAAACAGCGCCATATATAACTAAACAAACCAAAAAAAATTCTAAACTCTTTCTTCACGATTTTTATTTTAAATTTATCTCCCAAAACTAAACCAAACACACCCTTTATTTTTATTTCACCTCTCTCAAAATATTAGTCTCATTTAAAAAACATATATTTTAATATAATTATTATACTTTAAAATATTAGTATATTTTCAAAATTACTCTGTGACTTGTTTTTAAAAATATTAATTATCATAATTAATAAATTTAAAAGAAAAATAAAATAAAAAATTCATATTATTTTAATTCTAAAAAAATATATTTTTTAAGTAAATTATATATATATATATATCGGATATTTGTTTATAATACCAGTTTAGTTCTCGGAATTATATACTTTCCTTTTAAAGTTTCTAATTGTATAACAAATAACTCCGTTTATTAACCAATCAACTTTTTATAATGATCTCATAAATATATTTTAATTAATAATTGACATAATTTTATTATTATATAGGAAAATAGTTAAAAATTTTATTTTTCTAGTAATTCTATTAAATAAAAAATTCTGACAATGAGTATTTATAATTTTAAAAACCACACAAAATAATCCATATTTTAAATAAATTTCAAAAAGTATATTTACAATTTACTTTTTTTTTATAAATAAATTATACAAAACCCTAACTTTTGTAGTTTTTATTTTTATTTTTACAATGCGTGTCAATTACTTGAGGTCGGTGGTGAATGTAGAATGAGCACACTGAAATTAGATGTAAAGTGTAGGATTAGATTATTTAAATTGAAATAATACAGACTAAAAATACAATTTGAATTGAAAAATATAATTTACTCATTTGGTTTATAAAAAAATGTTATTTATCATTGAATTTACTTCATTATTTTATTTTTGAAAATTCAAAATAACGCAATCATTTGACATAATGTTGCATAAACAAACAAACAAACAAACAAACAAACAAACAAACAAACAAACAAACAAACAAACAAACAAACAAACAAACAAACAAACAAACAAACAAACAAACAAACAAACAAACAACTGTAGGCATATTAAGCTTACAGTCCATCAATACAGAAATCTAACCTCCTAAGATTCTGTTTAATATAGCTCTTCCCCTCAAATTTGAAAAGTTATACTTACCCCCTTATTAGATTAAAATGACATATTTATCCCTTATTTTTAATACATATAAAATAATAAAATAATATAAATATTTTATTCATGTCATTTCAAGGGAAATAACAATCATCTTCTTTGGTTTAACTCACACAAAAAATGAGTCTTTTTTTTTTTGTACTTTTTAATTTTTACTGAATTTGTTTTAATATTTTAAGTAATTTTTTATATTTTTTTAGATACATCTAATCTGGATATACTTAAGAAATATAATATTTTATATTTTTTTTTTAAATTCACCAAATACAAAAAATAAAAAATACAAAATACAAAAAAATTAATATATTATCTTATTTAGTTGTATTCAATAATTTTTTTTTTAAAAAAAAGTTGTACAAATTTTATACTTTTTAAATATATGTAGATTAAATTAATCTAATCTAGATATAATGGTAGAAATAAAAGTAAAAAATTATATTTATATATAAAAATTTATATAAAAAATATATAAAAAATATTATAATAGTGATATTGTTTTAAACATAAATTATATTTATGGGTGTTTTGTTTTAGAGTATTGTTAGAGACCCCAAACATTTTATCAATTTTTTTAGGGTGATTTTACTTACACCACTATTTAATATCTTTATACCGTCCATCTCATTATACCACTAAAAAAAATGTAATTCTCATTACACCCCCAATACATTACCAAAACTAACCCTAAATTAACTATTTCATCTCTTTACACCACTAATTTTAGTAATACGGTGCTAAACAATTTACATTATTCCGGTGTTATATTGCCGAAAAAAATAGATCTCTCTAGCATTTTGTTGCTATACATTTACAGAGACACTTTTCTTCCAAACAATGATTTTTTTAATTGTGGTGGGCCTGTTCGGTAATACAACGCTAATTAATTTGTATTACTCTACTGTCATGTTACCGGACAATATTTTTTTCCCTAGCATTATGTTGCCGTCCAATTAGATGATAACAAGAAATTAATTTGGGCCACTTGTGAAGTACATGTTCACTGATACATTGTTATACAAATGAGATTATTCAAATGTCATGTTGCCAAACTACAATAGAGTTGTCTATGCCCCTGCCGCTATACATTTAAAAATTTTCTTTTTCCTTGAAGCATTCATAAAAAAATTCATAAATCAAACACACATCCATAAAATCATACATAAAAAGTATCCATAAAATTATTCATAAAAACGTAAAATGTTTGAATATTCATAAAGTATTCATAAAATCTGTCATTGTTTGTATCCATCAATCAAACATATTATCAAAATTCGTCTTGGTAATTTTTTTCCCCCTTAAAAGAAATAGACATCCACAATTTTTAGAATCTGTCAACTTCAATCGTTCCTGCTTGATCTTCATGTTGTCTCTATAGTAACCACTTCTCTTACAAGCAAGTGTAAGTCTTGGTTTTCTGTTATTACCTCCTGCATCTGATGTCTCTATGACAATGATAAATCCAATCTTCTTCTCAACGTCAGAAGCCTATTTAATTAATGTTTCACAACTACTAAAAAAACTAAAGATAATAAATACATTTATACATCAAATTATTAATAAATCTGAATACAAATTAAAAATAAGAAAAATCGTATTCATAAAAAAAACTTAACAAATCTCGTCTGTAATGAATTCATGACTAGAATCTACTAATATTGCAGTATTTACGTTGTTGCAATGAGTATAAGTATAATCCTTCCAAGTAAAAAAATGAAACTAAAAATACATGGTAATGAGAAGCCGAACAAATTTAAAAAAATTCAGTTTGGGGTTACTTGAAATGTATCTTTTATTCGATAATTGGTTACCAGACTTATATTTTTTGTTTGACAATATGATGCGGAACTATTTTACTTTGTTCGGTTTCAAACCACCGAACGAAAGTCGAACACCAGTGCAGAAAAACGAAACAAAAACCTACCAAATAAATAAAAAAACTCACAATTTCACTTTTTTTATGGTTCTTCACCACTGTTTCTTCATCCATTGCTTTCTTCACTGATCAAAATACTATGATTCTTACTTTTTGAAAAGAGATGAGTAAGAGAAAAGAAAAATTAAGAAAGGAAAAAGAGTAGGGATTGAAGACCAAGAGGTGTTAGGAGATAACAAAATATATTTAATTTAGTGTTTTGTCCTTAAAGGTAATTTCACACATAGATAAAATTAGGGAGAAAAAAAAAACTCATATGAAGGGTGTAAAGAGGTAACATAGTGGTGTAAGTAGAATCACCCATTTTTTTTATCAAATGTTTCACATGGGTGTGAGATCCACATGGTGTGAGTTCCACACCCATGTGAGACATTTAATAGAAAATTTGGTAGAACTTTTAAGACATCTACCATTTTTATTTGTTTAAATTGAAATATCACCATTAAGTTATATTATTGTGTTTGAAAATTCTATATAAAATTTATATTTATATATCATCACTCAATATGTTCAAGTAGAAATGCATGATGGAAAATTATAAAATGCAGTCATGATTATAGGAAGAAGAAATTGTAGGAAAAAAAGCATAAGCTGGTTATTTAGAAAATTTTACGGTATGACATTAGTAATTCATAGGATAATTTATAATGAGATTATAAATCTCAGAAAAAATAATGTAAATTTTCAAATGTGAAGGGATTTATATTAAACAGAAATCTTAAGTGATCTCACTATAATTTAATTTTTAATATTTATAATTTTTTTTATTAATTTGTAATTATTTGTTTTTAAAATTTCACTGTTGATATTTCCCATTAATAATTAATATCTTGAGGGATCTCACTATAATTTAATTTTTAATATTTATAATTTTTTTTATTAATTTGTAATTATTTGTTTTTAAAATTTCACTGTTGATATTTCCCATTAATAATTAATAATTTTTTTTAATTTGTAAAAAAATAGAAAAAGAAAAAGAAAATAAAATAGGAGGTGCCTTCCCTTCCTTCCCTGAGTGAGGACCGCCTTTCCACAACAGTCATATCTGCAAACCCTATATACATACTACTCTTCTTCGCTTGGCATTGCTCTGATTAATCGTCCAGATCTCAAAACTCAAAACCCCAATTTCGAATCAACAAATATGAAGAGAGTCTTCGGCGTTAAGAAAGACAAACAACCCTCTCCTTCCATTCATGACGCCTCCGATAGGGTCACTTCTCTCTCTCTCTCTCTCTATATATATATATATATATATATATATGTATGTATAAATTGTTGTAATTTGAACTGGGTCGCTATTCTTTTGGCTAGAATTTTGTTCAGTTTCTGGATATCGACTCTGTGTGTATTTAGAATTATTGATCAAAATTAGGGTTTGTACGTGATTCTCAGTACACTTTTTGGTACATTCATTCAACAATTTTAGACATGGGGATGCTTGTGTTTGAAACTAGATTTTAGATTCTACATTTGTTTTAATTACAAAGTTATGTGCTCTGTTAGAATCCCAGGTTCTAGTTTGGTGTTGAAATTTGTATTTTAACCTTTGTTATTGAAGATAATTCTCTATGGTTCTTCAAAGTAAATGGATGCGGTTATATTTGCTTTGGTTTAGAACACTGTAGAGAAAAAGAAGAGAAAAGAATGGAGGAGATGAAAAAGAGGGTCACAGCCCCAACACAAACGATCATAGCCTTCAATACTCAATAATAGCCATCGATTAATCTCAACTTTATTTTAATGAGCACAGAAGTCTCATTGAATGGGAATTGACAAATTTGCCTGTGTGGTTTACTGTCGTAGCCACGTTTGGAAAAAGTACACAAAGGGTTTTTTTATTTGTTATATATTAGCCACATTTGGAAAATAAACTAAGGGTCACGTTTAGAAAAAGTATACTAAGTGCTTTTTTATTTGTTCTGTATAAGCCACATTTGGAAAATACACTAGCCACGTTTCACGTTAGGAAAAAGTACACTAAGACCTTTTTTATTTGTTCTGTATTAGCCACGTTTGGAAAATACCCCAGCCACATTTGGAAGGGTCACGTTTGGAAAAAGTACACTATGGGCTTTTTTATTTGTTCTATATTAGCCATGTTTGGAAAATAAACTAAGGGCTTTATTAGCCACGTTTGGAAAATGTAACACATTCGAACCCTCCCCCCCCCAAAAAAAAATAATAATAATAATAATGAGCCCAACAATCAATAAGGGCGAAAATGTCTTGACATGACACAATAATATATTAAATAGGATCTCATAGAAAATGTTTCCAAATGAACAGGACCTACGGTGTCTATAAAAAATAAAAAAAATGACTTCATGGTATATACTACAAATTTCTAAAGTGAGATTTTCAAGTAATTTTCCCATTAAACTATACATAAACTTAATTAAAAATCTCCACGCGCACATGATCCATGTCAAAACTATTTTACTCTTTGTGTAGAGATTTTTTATTTATTAAAGATAATAGTTTATATTTTCTTTTTCTAGTAGGTATTTTCTTATAGTATTTCCGGTTTGGGAATTCACTCATAGGATTCATGTTACTCCCGTTTCATTTTGTTGGTCTTATTATTTATTCCATTTTGGGGGATGTCCCAAAATGATAGTCCCATTCAAGGTTTTAAAAAGCAGTGTTACGTAACGGTTGCGGTGGTAAGCACTACCTATTATGTGATGGAAATTCACATGTGGAACGGCCGTTTTAGTGTTACTTAATGACCGTAGCGGTATTGTAACGGCCCATAGAATAACATGGTTCAAAGCTCAATTTGAGAAATCAAGCCCAAGGGTGTTTAATTCAAACCC